GGCTCAGTACAAAAGATCAGACACTCCCAATCCAAAAAAGGATCAACCACTCAGCACCCTGCGTTCCAGGCACTCAACACAAGGCCTAGCCGCCCATGAGACTGATGCATTACAAGGAAATTACAATTGTTTGGTGATGTATATGTTTAATACATACATAATAATTTTTATCATATTTGCGGTTTTATGTTCATGTCTTTAACAAGCTTAACAAGCTAAATGAACCAACTCGCGAGTTATACGAGTCGAGCCAATCTTGGGTTGAGCTCGTTATAGTAACGAGTCAAGTCGAGCTAGCTTGTTAACGAAAGAAGCTCTACCGAGTCGAGGCGAGCTAGCTTGATTCAGCTCGAATTCCAGCCCTAGCTACACCTATGGACATACTTTTTTAACACAGTTCAGACGCAAATGCTCATATAAACGTGCATACATTCACCCCTATGACTCACACACGCACACCCTATCCCTATGAGCACCTCCGAGAGACTAAAACGACATATCATCCTGAGATTTAATAAAGTCATCATAGGCACCTCGTTGTCAACGAGAACGTATCATCCCATTGAATGCGCATCGCCAGAAATCCTGAAATAAATCCAGGAATAATGCGAGCACTGAGATTTGAACCCTGATGGGCTGGAGATACCACTGTCCCTTTAACAATCCAACCACGGGTTAGTTCGCACCTATGAACAGACTTTACGATCATGCTTATAGATGAATGTATGAATTTGTGGTTGAAAATTAGGGAAAGAGTGGCCCAACGGTGAAAATCTAGGAAATGATTGGTGGAAGAGTGTTTGCTATGACCAATCCATAGTGAATCGTCCGTGAGTGTATCATTTTTATTTTTTTATTGTGGTGTTTGGGTGGGTTTTTTTGACCGTGTGACTGAAGGGCGTCTTTTAGTTAAGGCCTCGTTTGATTTACATGATTGGTAAAGTGAAGGAACAGGAAAACTATGAATAGGATGCCATGTCTAGTGAAATCCCAGCGGACATCATCAAGAGGCTCGTGAACGCCCCGCTCCTAGGGTTCCCTCGCGGCCACTGGCGGCTCCCCCGCGCGGAGCCGCCGCCGCGGCCCAAGCCTGCTCCCCTACCACTCCCCCTGCCCTCCCTTCCCCGTACCCCCGCGTCGCCTCCTCGAGCAAGGCGACCGCGGGCCTCTTCCCCACTTCTCTCCAGCTCTCCACCTTCGCCCCTGCCTTCTCCCGCCACCGCTAGCGAGAGCCGCCGTGCCTCGGCCGCGTGGTGCTGGCGGCGGCGGGCCTGCCCTTTCCCGTGCGTGGCTCCCCCTGCTCGGACGGTGGTGGCTGGCGGCGATGCTTCTCGGCCGGCATCGGTGCAGCCCATCGGTGGTGGTGCCCGTGGCTCTCGATGTGACGGTGCGGCCGTTGGCCGTGGGGCGGCGCGATGGCGCTGTGGCTGGCGGCGCCCGCCTAGCCCATCTAGGTTGGAGCGCGCTGGTGGCTGGATGTTCGGCGGCGACGATCCTTGGTGGTGGCGTGGTGGCGATGGTCGGGCGGCGAGGATTTCGTTGGTCGGCAAGCTGCAGCGTGGTAACAGGACTATCCGGGTCCACGTGGGCCCGACCGGGCCATCAAGGCCCGACAAGTCCTCGTCGTCGCGTCCGGTCGGCTCCGTTGCGGTGGTGGAGGCCGTCCCCTTCCTCCGGTCGAGTTGTGGTCGCTCCCGTGGTGGTGTCTCCTCTCCCTCTCCAGGTCTCGTGTTGACAACTCCAGTGAGGTGGTGAGGGTTGTCCCATAATCATGGTGGCACAAGCTGGTGGATGGCTGAGGGGGTCGTGCATTTCGAAATGCCTGGGGTGGTGGTGGTGGTTGTGGACCGGGAGAAACCCCTGTCGGCCTGGCCGACACCGATGCGATGACGCCTGCCGGCGCCATCGGGCCTTCCTGAAGGGCATCGGGTATACCCCTTCCCCACTATCCCTCGCGTATCGAGGGAAACCCTAGAACTTGTTCGGGCAACAGCGGCGACATCGTCGCATTCCTTTTTGAAGGTGTTGCTTGGGGCTCGGTGCTTCGGGATGCTGGGAGCATGGCGGTACTTCTTCAGAGGGTGCAGCGGTTGCCGATCTTCCTTTCTTCGTTGATCTGCCGGTGTCGGCATTTATTTCTCTTTTTTTTCTTTTTTTTTCTTTTGGCCTTATCTGTGCTGCGGCCCCAGCGAGCTGGATGTATGGAATGTTTGCTTTATAATATAAAGCGGGGGAAACTCTTTATCGTCAAAATCCCACGGATAGCAAAACAAAGGAATTCTCACACAAGTACTATTTGATTGTAGTATATAGGAAAACCACAGGAAATCATGCTTGCGCGTTTTCTTCCCGCCAGGATTTTTCCATTAAGTCCAACCTCATTCTTTTTTTTCCTGTGAAACTGAACTATGGATTTTCTGTAGGATTGGTTTCGGTGGAACACAATTCTGTAAATCAAACGACATCGCATGAAAACTTCTAGAGGATCTAAATTATAAAAAAAAATCCCATGCAAATCAAACGAGGCCTAATAGAAATTCATTAGAAATTACCTATGTTTGTTTGCCGCATGTGTTGTGCTGATGCTAAACATGTCATAGTCGACATTTTCTTTTTTCTCAATGATAGCCCACATCACCTGAACACTTACCAAGGGACTAATTCATCGAGAGATACCACCATAAAGCTCAGGTGAACGACACAATCAATTGTGCATCCAATTCCCAATTGAAGACCCCAGTTGAATGAGGGGCTTGAAAATTAGGGAGCTTAACGTAATTAGTGATTTCATTGGGCCACAACTAAGGATTGACCGAGCCAAGTCAAGGATTAAAATTGTATACCTCAATCAAATAAGAGAGTTCCAAATTAGGAAGCATAGTGTATTAAATTTTTTTGAATGAGAGCTCCTTGTGAAATTGTTGACCCCATCAAAATTGGATGACCTATTCCAGATTGGAGACCTCAATTGATAATGAGGCATTTAAAACTAGGGAGCTTAATGTTATAGAGGATGTTTGCCGCGGATTGTGTCAATGTTTTCTTGGCGTTGTTTCCTTTTGTCTAGTTAAAATCACCAGAGGCGCTTGATCAGTACCTAATCTTATGGACTAGAGTTTCGACCATTACCCTTGAGGATGGATCTCCGGATTCGGTGTGTTCGGCATGGGAGAACAGTGGATGTTTCTCAAGCCGATCGGCGTATGCAGCTAGGTTCATGGGGCGACAAGTTTCGCCAACTACGGGCTTCACGTGGAATTCTAAGGCGCCGCTACAGTGTCGCTTTTTCAGTTGGCTGGCACTGAAGAATAGGTGCTGGACCTCAGATAGACTTGCTCGGCGCGGCCTTCCTCACCAGGCAGCCTGCCCCATGTGCGATCAATATCAGGGAACCATGCAGCACCTGATGATGGAATGTAGCTTCGCGAGGTAGATTTGGCTTGCGGTGAGTAGACTAACAAACAAGGTGGAGCTACAGCCCAGACATGGTGAAACTCTGGAGCAATGGTGTATGCGACAAGATGGTGCCTTGGCTAACCGCAAAGCCCAAAAAGCTAAGTGCCTTCTGGTGATGTGAATAATCTAAAAACAGCGGAATGACGTGGTATTCAATGGAGCGACGCCATCATTTCAACGTTCCATGCAGCGGATTCAGGAGGAAGGACAGTGTTGGGCGAAGGCAGGGCTCTTCAAAGAGGATAATCTAGGGTTTGACGTCGATCTTGTAGCGTGGGAGGAGAGTGAGTAGTTGCTATATGTAAACAGAGGGTGGGCGGCAAATCGGCGTGTAAATAAGCTTGTAAAGGTGGATTCGGGTTTCGTATCCTTTCTTCTATAATGAATGATACACATTTTTCTCGTGCGTATTTGAGAAAAATAATAATTTATGGTAACTATTTTTAATCATTTTCTAACTTATATTAAGTAGAATGGACGTAGCGTCTGTCTCCTCTTTTCGAAAAAGAAAGAAAGAATGGACGTAGCGTCTGCCCACGTTCCATGTCTTCCGAGCCAGCAAGAGCATGCATTTTATTTTTATTTTTGGCAAGAGCAAGGACGATTTCAGTGGCCAGCTCGGACATGAATGAATCCTAGATCCCTGTCCGGCTGTCCCTGTGGTCACCGGCAGCAACCAGCGATGTTCACCACAGAACTAGATCGGTCCAAACGAAACGACGGAGATCGCTCTAAATCCCCAGTACGTACTATTTTGCGTTGTCAAAATCCTGATGGACCTGGAGCCCGCGGAAAGTGGCGCTACGACTCTACTGCCTCTTTTACGTTTGCCACAAGCCACGCCACTGCTCTGCTAAGTTTTGAGCACTCGCAGCAGTGCAGCAGAACCAGCAGTAAATAGCTTTGGGCTCGCCCTGCCTGGTCCTGCACTGCGCCCCCAACAAGGCCCAAGGGCCCCGCCCTTTGCTTTTGCTGCACGGCTTGTTGGCGACGCAGGGCCGGGTCTCATGGCCACCCATCCATGAATGGCCACCTAACTTAACTTTGGGAACTTCGATCGGCTCCATCATCTTTGCCGGGTGGCCGGCCCTCGGGAGCTTTAAAAAGGAAACCGAAAATGGTCTCAGCAGCAGCACCCAGCCACTCACTCACTCAGGGGGTGTTTGTTTCCAGGAACTTTTTCGTGTAGGGACTAGAAAAAGTCCCTAACAAACCAAACAGGATGGGACTTTTTTAGAAATTTTTGCTAAAAGTCCTTAGAAACACCTCTTTCAGAGTCTTTTTTAAAAAATTTCAGGAACTAGAAAAAATCCTAGGACTAGAGAAACAAACACCACCTCACTGTCGCTGGTATCACCAGTTGTATCCGGTAATAAAAACAGGCTGGTGAAGCAATTGCTCACTTCAAAAGGGCTGCGGAGTGGAAGGAACAAGACAACCACATGCTATCTATTACTACAACCACCCTCGGTTCCCCGCTCCGGTTCCGGCGCGACCGCGACTAGAACTAGATAGATACACACAAGCGGACAAGCCGTGGGAGCATGGCTTGGAGTTTCCACTTTGTTCCCTTGCTCCTCCTCCTCCTGCTCTCCAACACTTCCGCAGTGGCCACCTCCGGGCACAGCGCCGGCAACGCCACCGCAAGGCTGAGGCCAGGGAGGGAGCCGCTCAAGCACCGGAGGATCAGGGCTCTCCTCGGCAGGCTCAACAAGCCCACCCTCAAGACCATCAAGGTTGCCATCTGTACCTCAAAGTGAAACTAGTTCTGCACTGCGCATTCTTCTCTCCATCTGTTTGTGGTTACATTAAGTGCTTGTTTGCTTTGCAGAGCCCGGATGGTGATTTAATCGACTGCGTTCCCTCCCACCTACAGCCCGCGTTTGACCACCCAATGCTCAAGGGACAGAAGCCTCTGGTAATTAAAAGCATTTCTTTGCTCACACACAGTGCTGTGTGTGTCTCTCTCTGGCGTGAGAAGTGTTGCTAAGCTAGTTCGATGCTTAACTAGGACCCGCCGGAGAGGCCCAAGAACTACAACTCCACCATTGCCGGAGCGGTGGTGGTGCAGGCGTGGCATGCCACCGGCGAGGCCTGCCCGGAAGGGACGGTGGCGCTGCGGCGGACGACGGAGAAGGATCTGCTCAGGGCTAGCTCCCTCAGGAGGTACGGCAGGAAGCCGCCACGCCGGACCACCCGCCGTGATTCCACCAGCAGTGGCCATGAGGTTGGTCGTTTTGCACACTCTACTGTCTCCACCGGAAAAAATAGCGCGCTATAGCATCGTTAATAGCAAGCTATAGCGTATTGAGAATTGTCTCGCTAAATAAATCGGTGTACAACGTCTCGCTAATAGCACGCTATAGCGCGATATAGCACGCGTATTCTGAGGCCACCGCTATTTTGCTGTAGTGCGCTATTTTTTTCCTTGACGGTCTCCTCTTCCCTCCATTCTCATGGATAAGAATACACTAAAAGAAATAACTCTTGCACTTACAATATGTCAATATGTCATATAGTAAAGTAACAACATAATGGTTTGGTAATGGCATAGATATAAGTTTTCATTTCCGTAAAATACATTTTTTTTCAGTGGTAGGTCTAAAATTGTCTGTAAATAGTACAGTACACCAATGATGAGAGCAACTCTGCACACTTACGCCAAGGAAAAGGGATAGAGAAAAAAAAGCATCATGTGAGCAAATCAAATTAGCTCTGTAGTTTGCTCTGTAAAAAGAATATGGGAATGAGCTTCCATTGTTGGGGCTTGTGGCACCTGGAAAAGCTACAAAAGAGAAGCCTGTACTACTCAGGAAAAGGATAATCACAGCAATTAAACAGTTACTACTTGCATATGAGTCCATAGAAGCTTCACTAGGGAAAAATCCAGATTGCTAATTTTTACTTTGCTACTAGGATCACTGGTTGCCTTTGTTCATATCCGTAGGCCAACATTTGTTTAGATCCATTGGCAACTGGTGCGGCCAGTTTAGATACCCTCTGCTTGACTACACGACTTGGGCATAGAAATATTTCAGTCAGGACGGTGGTCAGACTCCTGTCTGGCAGTGCAGTTTCAGCTGGCAGCATGTGCATCTCATCTGTGTTTTGGAGTAGTTTATTTGCCAAGACATGTCCTGCGCATTGGTAATTTAACTAAGATCTCTGCATGTTATGCTTGCTGTGAAGCCAATGACAAAGTTCTCAAAAATCTGAATTTGGTTCAAACGTAGGGTTATAACTAAACAGATGAGCCAAATGATTCCAAGGGCCAATGCGGTAACTCGGTTCTCCGTTCTGTGTATCTAGTTTGTGCTTCAATTGGGCATCTTAAGCTAAAATTAGGTATTGAAAGGAGCATTTTGTTGCCCTCTGTGATTGAAATCAAAATAGCAGTACCTTCATAGACATTGTCTGATGTCGGCACACTTGGCGCCATTGCACCAAGAACCAATACCGCCCTTATTTGTACTACCTCCGTCCGAAAATAAGTGATGTGTTTTAGTTACCATGTCACTTATTCCCGAACGGAGGGAGTATTTGTAAACCAGGTAATTTGTGGTATAGTAGAGGACCAGAGGCAATATATTGGGCTTTTGAAGGGCAGTGTTAACTTTTCATCCGAGTTACTGACTGTATTTTTTTTCTCCTCTAGAACAGTGGTCTCAAGTGATTAATCAATCAAGCCACCGGTGGTAAGCATGAAGACTGATGTTTTGTTACAAGCTGTGGACACACATACTCCCTCCGTTCCTAAATAATTGTCTTTTTAGAGATTTCAAATGGGCTATCACATACGGATGTATATAGACATGGTTTGGAGTGTAGATTCACTCATTTTGCTTCGTATGTAGTCACTTGTTGAAATCTCTAGAAAAACAAATATTTAGGAACGGAGGGAGTAAATGCCACGCATAAGATTCTCATCAAAAATATCAAGTTGAATGTACCTTCATCGAGTTTACCAATGAGCTTAATCTCCGGAGAAGAGATGCTCAGCAGACACACAAGAAGAGAACCCATGTGGTTTGGAACAACTAAATAAACAATTTGTACATGTGCAGAAGCTTCATTAACCTAATCAAAATGCACGAGCAAATTAACTCGTCTTGAATGATGGGCTCTTTGACTCAACCATTAGAGTAACTTGGTTGCTTTGTCTTATATCCACCGCATTCGAGTTTTTTGTTTGTTTAAACAAGCACCGCATTCGAGTTGCGTGGTTACTAAGCGAAAGATTGGACTTACCATACCTAGCTACTACTAGTTACTAGTCAAAATTGAAAAACATACTCCTAGTATCTAGCTGAATAATGCTTGGAGTCTAGACTACTGCTCTTAACATAGCTCTGTTTTGGAGGCAGCACGCGGTTGGGTACGTGAATTCAGAGAAATACTATGGGGCCAGAGCGAGTGTTAACGTGTGGTCACCCAGGATAGATGACCCATCTGAGTTCAGCCTGTCGCAGATCTGGGTCATCTCCGGCTCCTTCGGCCACGATCTCAACACCATTGAGGCTGGATGGCAGGTACATGAATGATATAAAAGATTCTTGAAACAATATCATTGTACTATCTGCAGAAAGAACATGAAAGATGAAACCCTTGTCACCTCATTTTCAGGTCAGCCCGGAGCTGTATGGAGATAGCAATGCTAGGTTCTTCACTTACTGGACAGTAAGTATTGTTTGCACAAACAAAATGTTCACCTTTTGCCTGGTCTGATTGCCCCGGATTCAGTTTAACTAAACATGCATTTCGTAGACTGATGCGTACCAAGAGACGGGGTGCTACAACCACAACTGCCGTGGATTTGTCCAGACGACCAACAAGATAGCCATCGGCGCGGCTATCACGCCACAATCGGTGTACAACGGGAGGCAGTTTGATATTAATCTGATGATATGGAAGGTAAACGCCATTTCAGAATCACTACAGTAATTTTCAAGAAGAATTTGTTGATCTGCATGGCAAATGCATGATGATGAATGGTCGGGTCCTCAGGATCCCAAGCACGGGCACTGGTGGCTGGAGCTGGGCCCGGGCATGGTGGTCGGCTACTGGCCGTCCGGACTGTTCACCCACCTGGCGCACCACGCGAGGATGGTGCAGTTCGGCGGCGAGGTCGTCAACACCCGGCCGCCGGGGTCCCACACGGCGACGCAGATGGGCAGCGGCCACTTCCCCGGCGAGGGGTTCGACCGCGCCGCCTACTTCCGGAACCTGCAGGTGGTGGACTGGGACAACAGCATCATCCGGGCGTCCGGCCTCAAGCTCCTCGCCGACCACCCCGGGTGCTACGACATCCAGGGAGGCTCCAACGGCCGCTGGGGGACCTACTTCTACTATGGGGGGCCAGGGAGGAACGTGAAATGCCCCTGACCCTGACATTGTTAGGCTTTTGCTGTTTCTTTGTTGGTTTTGTTTGTTTGTTTTTTTGTCACCCAATCTTTTGCGACAGTACTCCATTATTTCTTGTAGGATATCATTGTTAGGCTTAGTAGGTCTTTAGCTCCTGGATGCATATGAGCACTCGAGGGTTGAGAGCAATCTGTAAATTTTGACAAGTACCTGCAGGCGTGTGCATTCTGTTTACTGCATAAGAGCATCTTCAACATAAATGCAACGCGCGGCACGCTAAATAATTTTTACAGCGCTAAAATAGTCAATTTTTAGCACGCGGGAGGGCGCTTGCTTCAACAGGTGCTGCAAAATAAGGTGCGGCGCTATAGTTTCAGCAGACGCTGTAAAATCCAACACACGCGAGTAAGCTGTACTACGACGCAACACATACGAACAACGAATATGTCTATGCCTAACCGGTTAGGCGCACAACTCCAATCCCTGTCGTTGCTGCTTCATGTGGATGTGCATGCGCCCTTGCATGTGCATGCTGCTACATGCGGGCGTGTGCATTCTGTTCAGTGTACAGATCGCATTCTTGTGGTAGACTTCAATGGCTGTACGTACTTGCAAATTTAGCTGGTACTACTACATGATAGGGGTCACTCAGCCTGTTCCTTATCTAGCTTGGTTACTAGATTTGTCAAAGCATTTACAGGCGGGCGCCTTAAACCCGCCTCATACGTTCGGGCTGGTCCCGGTTCACTGATCGGTCACCATTTTTCAACCCAGACGGCCCCCTCAAACGCCTAGGCTGACCGACATCCTTCATATCCAGCCCAAATATGAGGCGGATAAGGGGGCGTCCGGGCGCTTCCGGGCGCGTCCGTCATGTAGGACTGACGATTGGGTTCAACGCAGACTCGCTCGGAAATCCGACGGTCCGACGGACGTCTCCCGTCGTTGTGGTGTGAGCATCGCGTGGCGCCGCTCCGGCTCGCCGCCCGAGGCCAAATCCGGCTATTTAAACATGTCGGTGTCCCCCAAACCCTAGCCCATCCACCTTCTTCCTCTCTGCGCCACTACCCGAGCCCGTATGCCTCCTCCCCCCCCTCTCCTATGCTCTCCAGCATAGCCATGGTCCGGCAGCTGATCACCACGAACGCTATGCTCACACCTGAGCGCCGGAGGCAGATCGCGGAGGAGATCCAGGCAAGGTGCGCCGCCCGCATCGTTGTTGGGCTGCCTCTTGACTCGCCGGAGCCTGAGGAGGACGAGAAGCAGCAGCCGGAGGAGAAGGAGGGTGAGCCGCTGCCGGAGCCGATGCAGGAGGCGGATCCGGAGGACGAGATGCAGCAACTGGAGGAGAAGGAGGGTGAGCCACTGTCAGAGCCGATGCAGGAGGCGGATCCGGAGGAGGACGAGGCAGAGCTGCCGGAGTAGGGCTTCAACATGGTGGAGGCGGAGGTGGAGTTCGCCTTCGCCAGCCGCGGAGATGGCAGAGCAGCAGGCCATCCTGGAGTCCATCCAGGATGAGGCCTATGTGGAGCCCGACCGGCATTTTCTCCGGCAGGAGCAGGCGGCGTCCGACGCGCTCTTTGCCGAAGTCGGCGCGGATATAGAGGAGGAGGAGGTCAGAGCAGAGCAGCTAGAGGCGCCGGAGGCGCCGGAGGTTCGGGAGCTGCAGCTGCCGCCCATGCTGCCAGAACTGGGCACGAAGATTGTCGACATCTCTGATGAAGAGTAGCTAGATCTCTACGTAGTACGTAGGTTTTATTATTTGCATTGCTTTTGTATGGATTTGAGAATCTAGTATGAGATGTCCGGATGCAGTTGTGCTAATTTGTGGAGTGCCCGGTCACTTCCAGCGGAGATGCCTGGACGCGTCTGCGGGCGTTTGAAGGGTCGGATTTGCAAAGTCCGGTTGTAGATGCTCTTAAATAAGAGACATGAGCCACATGCATGGATGATGGTGAACTGAGCATGCCGTACAGCGGGACAACCAGTCAATCAATCACAAAGGGTGGACCAAGTGTGAAAACACTTGAGGTAAGGGCATCTTCAACGATGACCCTAAAACCATCTCTGCATATGTCCGGACCGACCGCTCGGTTCGGATGTGTTGTGTCATCCAGTGCGGTTTTGTATAGATCCGCCGAACAGTCCGAACAACATTTTTCGGCAAACTGGAACCAAACGAGGGGGTTTTGCAAGAGTCCGGACAACAAATGCGTAGGACTCCGACACCCCCGGCCCAACCAAAGGCAGGTGAAGCCCGCGCTTTTGTAGCCGCCATGTTTCCTAGGCAAAATCTCCATCTCTTCTTCCATCCTGCCGCTCCCCACCCAACTCCTGCCATTTTCTCCCACTCTCTTCTTCCCTCTGCTGCCGTCGCTGCCGCATGCAACCGGAGGAGAGCCTGCGGAAGATGGAGGACGTGGTGGAGGTGCTGGAGGATCCGATCATTGCGCTCGCTTGGAAGATCAACTTGGCGACACGGCAAAAGCGTTGCGTCAAAGCGAAAGCCGCAAAGGAGAAGACCCTCAGGAAGCAGGCCTCCGACGGAGGGCATGCCGGTGAGTGTGCTGGTCGTGGACGAGTTGGAGGTCATGGTCGAGTGCGCAAATGGTGTTGCTCACTGTATAAACGCTGCCGTGGTCGGAGCATTACATGCCTCCGTACTTCTACGCCGCAAAGCAGCTGGGTAGTAGTCCCCAACCTACTACCATTCGAGAAAAATACTATGAATAAGGTTTTCCTCCGAGAAACCTGGAGCCCCTGTTTAGAGGCGACTAGGGTTTGAGGGTGGATCTGTGGCGGCGCATGCTATTCTTCATCGACGGGGCGACAGAGCGGGCTGATCTAGGGATGTCGACGTTCACAGACCAAAGCAAGGAGGAAGGGCTCCTGTTGCCAAGAGCAGCCAGGGCAAAGTTAGCGGAGGCCCTCGGTAAACTTGAGATCTCAAAGGAGGAGGCCACGCCGCTGGTTCTTGATGATCGTGAGGAAGAAGCCAAGGAAAAGTGGATGTTGGTTGGAAAAGTTCTTCATCGAAACATCTTCCACATCCAAACTATCACTAGTGCACTTCGTCCGGCACGGGGCAACCCTAAAGGGCTGCTGTTCAAACCTGTGGGGGAGAACATGTTTGTAGCTGAATTCGCCTCGCAGAGGGATAGGGATCGTGCATGGGAAGGAGCTCCATGGCATGTAAGTAAAAATGCGATGAGTGCATGAGGCCGTCGGAGCAGAAATTTGACAAGCTCCAGATGTGGGCAAGAGTGGTTAATCTCCCTTTCAATTTGAGGAATGAAAAGTAGAGCAAAGAGATTGCTAAGCAGATCGATCGTCATGCTTTTGCGGTACAGTTCGATCAGGCAGGCAGGTACCTGCTACGTCTTGAGCTTGCGTTGGTTTTCCTTGAAGAGGAAAGGGTGATGCAGCACAATAGCGTAAGTATTTCCCTCAGTTTTTGAGAACCAAGGTATCCATCCAGTAGGAGGCTCCTCACAAGTCCCACGAACCTACACAAACAGACAAAGAACTCGCAACCAACACGATAAAGGGGTTGTCAATCCCTTCACGGCCACTTGCGAAAGTGAGATCTGATAGAGATAATATGATAAGGTAAATATATTTCTGGTATTTTATAATATAGATGCAAAAAGTAAAGATGCAAATAGAAGTAGATTGAAAGCTTATATGATAAAAGATAGACCCGGGGGCCATAGGTTTCACTTCTCTCGAGATAGCATAAGTATTACGGTGGGTGAACAAATTACTGTCGAGCAATTGATAAAAAAGCGAATAATTATGAGATTATCTAGGCATGATCATGTATATAGGCATCACGTCCGTGACAAGTAGACCGACTCCTGCCTGCAACTACTACTATTACTGCACACATCGACCGCTATCCAACATGCATCTAGAGTATTAAGTTCATAAGAACAGAGTAACGCATTAAGAAAGATGACATGATGTAGAGGGATAAACTCAAGAAATATGATATAAACCCCATCTTTTTATCCTCGATGGCAACAATACAATACGTGCCTTGCAACCCTTTCTGTCACTGGGTAAGGACACCGCAAGATTGAACCCAAAGCTAAGCACTTCTCCCATGGCAAGAAAGATCAATCTAGTAGGCCAAACCAAACCGATAATTCGAAGAGACTTGCAAAGATAACTCAATCAGACATAAAAGAATTCAGAGAAGATTCAAATATTTCTCATAGATAAACTTAATCATAAACCCACAATTCATCGGATCTCGACAAACACACCACAAAAAGAGTTTACATCGAATAGATCTCCACAAGAGAGGGGGAGATCATTGTATTGAGATCCAAAAAGAGAGAAGAAGACATCTAGCTAATAACTATGGACTCGAAGGTCTGTGGTAAACTACTCACAACTCATCGAAAGGGCTATGGTGTTGATGTAGAAGCCCTCCGTGGTTGATTCCCCCTCCGGTGGAGCGCCGACGAAGGCTCCAAGATGGGATCTCGGGGATACAGAAGGTTACAGTGGCGGAAATATTTCTTCGGTGGCTCCCTGGATGTTTTAGGGGTACGTAGGTATATATAGGAGGAAGAAGTACGTCAGTGCCCGCTCGAGGGGCCCAGGAGACAGGGGCACGCCCAGGAGGGGTGGGCGCGCCCTCCTATCTCCTGGCCGCCTCGATTGCTTCTTGACTTGCACTCCAAGTTCTCCGGATCACGTTCGTTCCAAAAATCACGCTCCCGAAGGTTTCATTCCTTTTGGACTCCGATTGATATTCCTTTTCTTTGAAATACTGAAATAGGCAAAAAAAACAGCAATACGGGTTGGGCCTCCGGTTAGTAGGTTAGTCCCAAAAATGATATAAATGTGTAAAATAAAGCCCGTAAACATCCAAAACAGGTAATATAATAGCTTTGAACAATCAAAAATTATATATACGTTGGAGACGTATCAAGCATCCCCAAGCTTAATTCCTGCTCGTCCTCGAGTAGGTAAATGATAAAAACAGAATTTTTGATGTGGAATGCTACCTA